AGTTACTTGATATTTTGCGAATGTCAACACTCTGCAGTAGCTGCAAAAGATTGATCGAATTTCAACCATAATAATTTAGGACCAGACTCAGTAAAAATGGTTGCAATTGTTTTTATTTACTTTTTCTTTGTAGCAAAGCCGTTGTGATTTTTCAAAAATGGTACTTTTTTTCACAAAATTGCCCATAAATGATAAACGGTCCATGATAGACCCATAAAACCTAATATGGATATTATTAGAATTAAAAACTCTTTCAAATAAGCGCATAATATACTGGATGTTCCATAAGAAAAAATATAACTTTGTTGCGCCACCCTATATAGAAATTACCTACAATGACTAAAATATTTTTGGACCATAAAAAAATGAATGTCTGTAGTCCAAAAAAAAACCGCATTTCGTTATCTTTTTTACTGCCAGAGTAATCCAAGAAATACGGAGCTCTGGGACAACCTGTATACAGAATGTTCCGTTTTTATTGTTACAAATTTAAACAGGTGATAGGATATTCAATTCTAAGACAAGAGTTTCCTATAAACATGTATCGAAAAATGCTTGGTAAGGGAGTTACACCCCCTGGAAGGGGGCTAATATGTTTTTGCTAATATTTCAGAAACCATTTAAGATAAAATTACAAAGTTTGGTCCAGATGATAATCTTTATACACCTAAACGAATTCAAACATCAAATGTAGAAATTTTTAATCAGAGGCGTACGAACCTGGGGGAGTTTAAGGTAAAAAAATACCCTATTTATTTTGGCTTTGAGGTAGGTTCTCCAGCGTTATTTTGTGGAGCCAATTACTTTGGGAAGATGAAGGATTTAAGCAGTCAAAATTCATGTGTTCAAAAGTATTATTAACAATTTATTAAACTAACAATTAAGAGTTTGGAAAGTATTACAAAGTAAAATTAAAAGAGAAATTGTACGTCTAGCGAAACCCCTTCTGAGTTAAGGGGCTAACGTTACGTTAAAGATTAATAAGAACAATTAATTCAAATGAAATCTTACTAGTCCAATAATAATTAAGACAAACGAACAAGCTATTTTAGCGTCTAATAACGAAGTCTAATTTTCATTATTTGATTTACTAGGTTCTAAAGTAATCTAACAAGTAAAAGTGGGTGAACCCAGACTGATTATAAGATAGATCTAAAAATAGTGAGTACAATTCAGAGGCAAGAGGAGAAACAGTCAACAGAAAAGGATCAGTTGTTCAACGGCCCTGTGGCGGGTGTTTAAGACTCTTTGATAAAAGTCGAATTCTTTTACGGTCCGAGCGGGTTACGCCACAAGAAGAATAATATTTATTTGAGGCAGGTTCTCCAGCGTTATTTTGTGGAGCCAATTACTTTGGGAAGATGAAGGATTTAAGCAGTCAGAAATCCAAGTAATTAAATTAACGATAACAATTTATTAAAGAAATTAAAGTTTAGAAAATATTATAA